CCACACAGACAAGGAAGCAGAGGGAACACTTATACCATGACTAATGAGGGAATAAGGACCAGGTGTGTGTGATTGAAGACAAGACAAATGGAGTGATGATAAATGGATCGGCAGTAGCTAGTAAGCCGGTGACGCCGAACGCCGAAACCTGCCCGAACAAGGAGGGGACGCAGCCTCGGCGGAAGTGGTGACAATAACCCCCCCCCCTTGACGAGCAGCTCCAGCAGCGCGCCGACCCTGGCCTCGGGGACGGCCAGGAGGACGCGGAGCAGGGCGAGCCGGATGGCGACGGTGGAAATGTAACATGGAGGGATCGAGGATATCCCTCACCGGAACCCAGCACCGTTCCTCCGGACCATACCCCTCCCACTCCACGAGGTACTGAAGGCCCCCCACCCGACGCCTCGAATCCAGGATGGAACGGACAAAGTACGCCGGGGCCCCCTCTATGTCCAGAGGAGGTGGAGGGACCTCCCGCACTTCAGCCTTCTGGAGCGGACCAGCTACCACCGGCCTGAGGAGAGACACATGAAACGAGGGGTTAATACGGTAATCAGGGGGAAGTAATAACCTATAAGTGACCACGTTGACTCTCCTCAGGACTTTGAATGGCCCCAAAAAACGCGGGCTCAGATTCCGGAAGGGCAGGCGGAGGGGCAGATTCTGGATTGAGAGCCAGACCCGATCCCTCGGTACAAAGACTCACTGCGGTGGCGGTCAGCGTTGAACTTCTGACGATGCACGGCGCGTTGGAGGTGAACATGGGCAGCGTCCCACTTCTCCTCCACACGCCGAAACCATTCATCCACCGCAGGAGCCTCGGTCTGGCTCTGGTGCCACGGTGCCAGAACCGGTTGGTAACCTAGAATACACTGGAAAGACGTTAGGTTAGTGGAGGAGTGGCGGAGAGAGTTCTGGGCATATTCTGCCCATGGCAAGAACACTGACCACTCCCCCGGCCGGTCCTGGCAGTAGGACCAAAGGAACCTACCCACGTCCTGATTTACCCGTTCCACCTCCCCATTACTCTCAGGGTGGAACCCAGAGGTCAGGCTGACCGAGACCCCCAGACGTTCCATGAACGCTTTCCAGACCTTGGACGTGAACTGGGGACCTCGGTCAGACATTATAGCCTCTGGTACCCCGTAGTGCCGGAAGATGTGTGTAAACAGAGCCTCCGCAGTTTGCAGAGCCGTGGGGAGACCGGGCAGAGGAAGGAGAAGGCAGGCTTTAGAAAAGCGGTCCACAACAACCAGGATCGTGGTGTTACCTTGGGAGAGAGGAAGATCAGTTAGAAAATCAACACTCAGGTGAGACCATGGTCATTGTGGAACTGGTAAAGGTTGTAACTTACCAGCTGGGAGGTGCCTAGGTGCCTTACTCTGGGCGCACACTGAGCAGGAGGAGACATACACCCTCACGTCCTTAGCCAAGGTAGGCCACCAGTATTCTCCGGTCAGGCAGCGCACTGTACGGCCGATACCTGGGTGACCAAAGGAGGGTGACGTGTGTGCCCAGTAGATCAGACGATCACGGATAAGAGCAGGCACGTACTGTAGCCCATCTGGACACTGAGGTGGAGAGGGATCCGTGCGTAATGCCTGCTCTATATCCGCGTCCATCGCCCATACTACCGGCGCCACAATGCAGGAGGCCGGCAGTATGGGAGTGTTGTCTCTGGGCCTCTCCTCTGTATCATACAGCCGGGACAGCGCGTCTGCCTTCACGTTCTTCGTACCCGGGATGTATGGTAAAGTGAAATCAAACCGGGTGAAGAATAGGGCCCAACTGGCCTGACGAGGATTCAGCCTCCTCGCTGCTCAGATGTACTCCAGGTTATGGTGGTCCGTCCAGATGAGGAAAGGGTGTTTTGCCCCCTCGAGCCAATGCCTCCATACGGTCAAGGCTCGGACAACAGTCAACAGCTCCTGATCACCAACGCCGTAGTTCTGCTCTGCCGGGCTGAGCTTCTTCGAAAAGAACGCACAGGGGCGGAGCTTGGGTGGTGTACCCGAGCGTTGAGACAGGACAGCTCCTATCCCAACCTCGGATGCATCCACCTCCACTACGAACGGTAGTGATGAATCGGGGTGGGCCAGTACTTGGGCAGAGGTGAACAGACCCCGCACTTTGCTGAAGGCCAGGTCAGCCTCAGCAGACCAGCGGAGCCGGGATGGCCCATCCTTCAACAGGGAGGTAATGGGAGCTGCGACCTTGCCAAAGCCCCGGATGTGTCGCAGAAATGTGTCAAACACACTCCAGGGCACAAAACAGGCGCACTGGAAAATACTAGGCACACAGGAGAATACTCCCGTCGATTCACAATACACAAGCTCCACCGAGCTACACAAACCTCCACAATAAACAATCACCCACACAGACAAGGAAGCAGAGGGAACACTTATACCATGACTAATGAGGGAATAAGGACCAGGTGTGTGTGATTGAAGACAAGACAAATGGAGTGATGACAAATGGATTGGCAGTAGCTAGTAAGCCAGTGACGTCGAACGCCGAAACCTTCCCGAAGAAGGAGGGGAGGCAGCCTCGGCGGAAGTCGTGACAAATATTATTGACTCAAGACATCTCAGCTTTTCATTTCGAAAAACATCATTCCACTTTGACAGTATAAGGTGTTTTGTGTAGGCCAGTGACAAACTAATCTCAATTTCATCAATTTTAAAATCTGGCCGTAACACAACAAAAAAGTAAAGTGGTGTGAATAATTTCTGAAGGCACTGTAGATAATGGAACAAAAACATCAAGGAAAGATGACACATTTCACTGGGCAACTGTAGGCTATTGAGTAGATTATTATGCTCATTGACATGGAATATGAAAACAGAAAATAAAAGTCAATGTAAATGGTGACCCATAAAATGCCAGGAAGAAGTCTGATTTACTTTTTGATTCAAAACCTTACTTTAGAAGCAGTGCTTATATCCCTATAACCTGCACATCAAACAAGGCAGTTACATAAATTACTATCATCCATCACTTTGATGTTCAGCCCTATATCTCCACACTACATTACACCACAGGTCTTCTCCCTCACTTGCACTGGGGGGGGGGGGGGGGGGGGGGGGGGGGGGGGGGGAATGTGCAATTTCGAAATATGGTTGTGCATCAGCAGTTTTTCTCTTGTTATGTCAGTCACTGACAGTCACTCATTTAGCCACATCAGCTAACAATTTTTAGATTGGTAAATTATTCTAGCCAGCTATCTAAACTTGTAGTAATCATTGCCAAATACCGACCAGGTATGCAGGATATGTGCCCAGGGGCCCTGACCTCCAGTATTGGCAAATGTGTAGAATTGCAGGAAATGTGCTTTAAAAATGAAACCATTTCTCTCCACCCCATGGCAAAATGGGTTGAATTGCAGGAAAAGTGCTGTAAAACTGCAACAAAAAAATAAAATAAATAAATAGGATCTCTGAACCATGGCAAAATGATTAGAATTGCATTAAATTTGGTCGTGTGTGTGGGGGTGGGTGTGTGTGTGGAGTGTGTGTGGACACGTGCGAACTCACGTGCACGAACGCGCACGCGCGTGCACACAAGCAAATCAACTCACAGTGCCCGCTTCCATGTCATTGGACAGCGAAGAAGCATGTCTAGGAATATATTACATACATTACAATGACATTAAGTCTTCGGCGTTTAGTTTTGAATAACGGGTAGAAAAATGCACTTGCAGCATCAGGTTAAGGGCGATGCATATAGGCTAGGCAACCTCACGATCTGTGTAGAGCACAAGATAGAGAGACAGAGACAGAGAGAGTGAGAGAGAGAGAGAGAGAGAGAGAGAAACCTTACTGAATACCGATGCATATACTCTATGACATCTCCCATAACGTATTCATACACTATATTAAGTATGCATAACGCAACACATAAGCCCGGTTCCATTTCAGACAAGACGAATCACAGTAGTCTGGTAAATACAATTCAATGTCAATATTGCATTGAGGAGTTATGATTTGTACATGAATGACGAGTAGTCTAGATGCCATCATAGTCTGTTGTAAACGTAATAAAACAAACAAATGAGATCAGGTGTGTATTATGCGTTGATAAGGGCAATAAACCGGCTACATAAATTGTGGGTTATTACATGTCCCATCATTATTAAAATGTCTTCTGGTTTGTAGTTTAACTTGAAATACACAGATGACTACAAAAAATATACGCTTGGTATCATCAGGCGGTTTTTGCAGATGCACAGCACAGCTCTGCTTCTCCAGCTCTGTCTGTGTTCAGTCGTGGAGTGCAGGCAATAGCAGCATAATATTTGGCTGTAAGCACAGGCGGTCCTGTTGTCTCGATGCGAATCCTGGGCTTTTAGGGTACAGTGAGTGAGTGATTCAAGGTGATTTTCGGTGAGGCTCGTCTCATCAAATCTATCGGGTGAGGGTATAATATATGCATTTCTCAATATTGGGAAGAATGTAGCCTATTCATGTATGAATGATTTGTTTTTGTATGCATTGAGTGTCTTCATTGATAGGCTATGTGATAAACATTTAATAATCGATTGGAGATCTTCGTTTTGGTCAGAGAGGAATGTCGTGCCAGTTGATATAGCCAATCCATTCAATAAATGTAAAACGCAGTTTTTATAGGAAAACATCAAACATCAGTCAGGGAGAAAGAGTGGGGAAAAAAACAAGGGAGCCGGTTGAAAATGTAAGAGGATTTAATTTTGCAGCCACTGAAAAGAGATTAAGTCGACAGCAGTGGAAGTTAAATTGTGCTGCATATAAAAAAAATGGGCGGATTGGTCTTTAGATGAGAGAGTGGGACCACCTTCCATTCTAAAATAAAATTGCCCTGGCATGAAGTCACAGCCTATTTCACATCCGGTTTACCCAGGGACATATTACTATTGTCCTGGTAAAGTAAAGCTTTAGTTGGCTGCAATCTCCGTATTTACAGTAGATTTTGTAGTTAGATTACCAATTTGTTGGGGACTGAGAAGAGTTTAACCATCCACACCAATGAATAGTGCGCGAGACCTGCGCATACTCAGCATCGTCAGCAGCCGCTTCTCCAGCCTCAAACTCAAATTCGGCAGTAGATCTGAGATCTTTGAGGATTTTTCTCATTGAATCAGTTTAAAAAAAGATATACATAAAAGTTTCAGGATACGACAGCCTCGAATATCTCTGGTATATCGCTGTAAGTTCATTAATCGTTTTTCATTTTGCTTGTCTTTATCGGTGCAGAAGGAGGTCGGGGAATTTGACTTGCATTTAGAACTGCAGTGAGTTGTGTTCAGCCTAACAGAGGCAGAATCCAGTCCACATAGATGGTAGAGGAGTTGCAACGATCCGTGAGTGGAGTATGTGGAGTTTGTTATTGAAAATTAAGACGATTTAGGGAGGCATCTGCTGTGGTATGATATTTTATGTTTTTGTCGAGGTTGTTTCAGCACTGGAAATCGCTCAGAATATAGAATCATACAGTTGCTTAATAGGCTACTCGCCACGCACGAATTGAATTAGACTACTGGTCATGTTTAAGATGAGCCTTGAGAAATGTCAGTTGCATGCTAAATATCTCCCTGAACTCAATATATTTATACTGCGGATGCATTTCCACGGAATAATTTAGAAAGTGTGGTTGTATGGGATTTTTACGCTAAACTGCATTATCCCTGCTTCATCAAATCCTTGTCAACTAACGGAATTTTAACAGAACATTGCACGTCCTTTGCACAGCTTCGGTCTCAGCATATTCCAGTGCACATTGGAGGAATTGAAGCGAGTAACAGGCACAGTTTCTTCTATGTACGTTTTATTGACAGGTTATTGTAGTCGTTTGTTGGATAATGGTGTAGCTATTGATTACAGCGTCTTTTTCGTGGGTAATTAATTGCTGCCGTGGGAAACATCGTTATATATATTTTTAATGGGTTCAATTAAACGGGCATCTGGCAAACAATTGTCTTTGCATAACGCAATAACGTAGCCTACCACTTAACATCCTCTGAAACTGGGTTGACATGACGATGTTGGACGAAGATGAAAATGGGTGAATATAAGAGGATTTGGTTTAATATTGCGGTACCGCCGCCTTTCAATTGCAGGCTATGAGTAAGCTATAATACAAGTGCTAGGATAACACACGACATACAATACTATATAACCGGTAACGTGTTTGATTATTTTCCGCAATTATTGATCGCAATATGCGTGCGTAATGTGTGTCGTCAGATTATGAGAAATATATTCTTCATAATGGAATGTAGTCCTTTTTGAAGCAACGGATACATCGCCTCCAATCTATCAAATTCATTCAGACGCTCTCTCACTATCTTTATTTTTAGGCAAATATATGAAGGATAATAAATAGTGGGACTAATTCATGACATATGAGCTGGCGGATGCAGTTCAGGTTGTGAGCATATGGCTAACTTGTGAAATATATAGTGCTTTGAGGTTCACCAAATCTTAATTGAAGTAGTTTTTTTTTGTGTGTGTGCAAAAGCTGGACACTAATATAAACCAAAAGATACAACATAGTTATTGGGAAAGGCTGGTCTTAGTAGAAAGTTGGCTGCCTCTTATTCTCCTTGATCGTCTTGGTTTGAGGATCCATCAACGCCTCAATTGTGTCTTGTTTGATTCTCTTTTGATCCATTCATGTCAATGCTAGCCTACTGTTGTATTTTATGATGTATTGTTATTGTTGTCTTCCTCCTTCAGTGGCAAACCACTCTCCAACCATGGGTCGACGGACAGGAACGGCCATACTATGTGTGTGGGCCTGTTTGCTGATGGCCAATGTGCTTTGTGGGAAAAGGTAAGGTGGGCTTCGACCACACAGACATAACATTCGCTGAGCTAGATTTGGCCCAGGAAGGAGAATCACAGTGTTCTGTTCTATGCTCTAGTTACAACGACAATATATTTGTCTCTCAAGTCCCCAACAGAGCGGAATTAGAATTGATTTTGTGATGTGCAATCATGTCATGTTGGCGTCCATCCCTCACTGACAGTCTGTGAGAAAACAATGTAATGATTATGTTTCGCCAGCTGACCATATTTTTCCTTTGTGCCTAACTCTCTAGGATGGCAGTAATTAGGCCATCACTTCAGGACGCCACACTGTAATTGCCATGAGGTAATAAGAGGTGAACACGAGCTGGGGCTGATTTTCCCAAAATAGCAATTACTGTGTTAATGTTTCCATTGGCTCAGCAGCAACATGGGACAACACTGAATATTCAACCAAAGTAGAGAAGTGCATGTCCCAGATGTTCTGTCATTTATTCAAATGATGTATGTGTCTCATGTGAGGGTAGTTCAATATAGAAAGTCAGACGTGGGAATACAGATGGGGTCTGTGCCCTGACCACACCACTCAGTACCACGGTGTGATGGGTTGAGAGATGACAGCAATATGTGGTTTTGAAATGTGATTGTCACACTATTAATCCTGCCATTGAAAGGACAGACATTTGCGTGTACACCTCAATACTAATCCAGTCCTAGGATAAACTTAGAGAAGTTTGACATTGAACCAAAATTATGCAAATATCAAGGATTCACTATTTGCAAATGAAGCCGTATATGCTAGATACTCATATAGCATGAAGATGCTCGACTCTTAAATTAATAATGTTTGGTCTTGCTATTCTGCAAGCCTAAATTATTTAGTTGAACTGTCAGAGTCATTCACTGAAGTTGACTTAAATGGTTATTTATTGAGATATCTTGGCCTTTTGCCTCTCGGTCACTGTCCTATGTACACTTAGAGTAAACACCACAGTTTATATGCTGAAGAACATATGTGTAGATGGAATATGTACTCGAACATGCGTGCATATCTCATCAGTCTAATGAAATTGCCATTTAAGGATTTATTTTCAGTGAGCTGTGACATTCTCCCCAGTAATCAACCGTGAGTTGAATGTATTTTAACTGCACTGCTTCAAGGATGGCCCATTTAACCAATAAACACCTCCCCTGATTACTCTACCTTACAACTGTCACTATAAACTGCAGTGTAATTATTAACTAGTAATTCACTGTATTTACCGCTAGAACTCAAACACAATCATTGGAGGGTTTTTAAACAGGCGCAATAATCAGTTGTGCACACATTGTATTTGTGTTGTGGATAGAGAGAAGGACCATATAATGGGGTAACTATAGTGTTTGGAAGAAGGTCTAGAGAGAGAGAGCTCCAGAGTTTGTGGGATGGCAGGCAGGCTGAGGCTGCAGCAGCATGCAGCAGAGGGCAGTACCGTTGCTGTTCAGATGACCTGTAGATGGGGATGGTGTACAATGTTTTATGAGGAAGTGGCCCCGTCAGCTCATAAACATCCAGTCCATTGCTCTCTGCTTATCTGCACCCCTCCCCCCCCACTCTGCTGTTCCCCTCCTCGACCCCCCCAATCCCAAATATACCCTATGTCAAGTGCATTTTTTATTGTTGCGCACTTGAAAGCCCTCTGAGGCATCCTTGTATGTTTGCTGTTGTGGTTTTTTGTAAGGAGGATATAATGAACTTATCTGATGGAATGTACTGTATCTCTGTGATAAATGGAAGAAAATCTTCGGCATGTTGTGTTTACAAGCGAGCAGAAAATAAAATGTGTGTGTGGGGAGAGGGGACGTGGCGGGGGGGGGGGGGGTATTTTAGGGAGATTTTAGTTATTCAGCCTCACATGACCCTGCATGTAGTTTCTCATATCTTTGTTTTGGTGGCCTGGCTCTTGAGCTAAGGCAAGGAAGGCTTTGCCATATCTTAAAGTTTGACCCAAAACGTAGAATGTATGCCCAACGTGTGATATCAGATGCTTATTCTAATTGCTTGTTCCATTATTTATCATAATTCTTAATATTATTTAGATTCCCTAAAAGTAATTTTAGCAGGAAGTGGCATTTGAACAAATCACCTATGTGGTAATGAATGGTGTGTTAATGTCATATTAACTATATTGTTCCTGCAGTGATGTGAGTAGAATGTCCTTATTTAGAAGAATCGTTTAACAGCTCACATTTAAAGCCGTGTGATCTGCCGCTCCCGCCCCTCCCCCTTCTCATTCATTCTCTCTATCTCTCTCTCTCATTTGTGGCTGCCAGCATGCATATCCTCTCAGCTATTCTGTTGACTCCTCCTGCTACTCGCTACTTCAGATTCCCCACCTTTCCATCCCTTCACCGGTCAATGCTAACTAATCTTGATGACCTTCCCTTCTCCTTGGAGCTGTGTTCTGAGCAGAGCTTGTTTCCAAACACTGGGGACTGTTTATTTACCATGCAATCAAACCAATGTGGCCTGCGACTGGGCGGTTAAAATGGAAGATGATTGCTCAGAGGCAAACGATTATTTATGAGAAAGGCTTTCCTGTGATTATTTTGAGAGGGAGAGAAGAAATCTCTCCCACCCCTTCCCAAGCCGAGTATTTCCTTCTCCATCCACACCTCCTGTTGATAAACTACAAATGTACACTACATGATTAAAACTTTGCTACTGATTACTGTGTTGAAATATTAATGAGTGGTGATGTTAACTCTGCTCACACAATTACTGATTGTGAGTGTTCTCGGTTTGCCTTAAGCATTTAGTTTCATGTTGCACAAAGAGCAAACCCAATTAGTCCTTTGCTGTTAAAAGGCCACATTAAGGTATAATGCATTATGAGTTCTGCATGTGTACAATGTCATGCCCTGTGGATCAAATAAACGTATTTCTCACATTCATATGGCTTTATAATAATTCTGTTTCATCCGAGGAAGTAGATTTTAGAGGATCAAGAGAAGTTGCTCAGCTGGGATTTTGCTCCAACACTCCTGCATCAATTCACTGAATTCACTGTCCAAAATGACTCTTCCTTTTCGTCAGCTCTGGACAGAATGGCCAGACAGATGAGCAGAAAGACAACACCACAGTGTTCACCCGGATCCTAGACCGTCTCCTAGATGGCTACGACAACCGTCTCAGACCAGGGTTGGGAGGTACAGTACTGTACAATGGTTTCTCACCAACTCATAACATTCTCAAGTTAGAGCTGGTAGGAAATAAAAGGGTGATGATGAGTTACTTGGATTTATGCAATAACATGGTTATTGCATGCCGTAAATTACCTTTACAGCAGCTAATTTTCGGAATCCTTTGTTGTCTTATTTGGAATTGATGGCACGAGATTGCACCACCCTGTTGGTTTACTATTGGTCATTTGCCAATACTATTAATTGGATGATAGTACTCCAGAGCACATAAAAAAGGGAGGGCTGGAGTCCTTTGTCCTGCTTGAAGAAAAATAAATCGGCATTTCATTCGCTTATCGTCACAAGCATCCTCATATCTTTCTTTTTTCTGCCTTTGCACTCATATCAGTGGAATCTACAGGAGGGCGATTTACTGTTAGCTATTTCCTTAGAAGCATGATATCAAGAACAAGTATCTTTTGAAAATGAAAGCAAACAGAAAATAAAGACCCTTGGTGAATAACTTAACTAATTATTTTGAGAAATAGTGTATGGTGTAGATATTCTCATTGGGACCTTGGGGAGTTTTGGCTCTTTTCATGGAAGTGTACTGTGAAAGACAGTTGTTGCCTATACTGCTCTAGATTCAACTCAACTTGACAGAGTAATGGAGAGATATCTAGGCCTACTGGAACGTGAAGGGTATTTGTATGGAATTGATTCTCAACTGGCTTACCTGGTTAAATAAAGGTGAAATAAAAATAAATAAATAAAAGTATGGAATTGATAGTGTGGGGGCATACAGACAAGAGAATATTACATTTTCAGTGGCAAATGGAGAGAAATTAAACATTATGATTGACACCATTCCTGATGTAAATCATGTTGCCATTTTCCACTTCAAAACATAATGCTGTACAGATGAAGGTACTCAAAATACGTCAGACCAGGTGAAATTTGATCTCAGCCAAGAGATTTGAAAATACATGAAGAGATTGCATCAGTCCCTAGGTAATGGTCCTGACCCTGAAACGGAGAACTGCAGAAATGGTTATTGACCTCAAAATCAGGATTGTAAGGTGTCATTTTGGAAGGGGGCTCTGTGAAAATTAGGGAATGATACGATCAAAGGGCAATGCTCCCCAGGATTACGTGCTAGTTAGAGCTAATGAGGAGCCCTGATCGACACTCACTCTCCTAATTTCTTGGTTCAACAGAGCGTGTAACTGAAGTCAAGACTGACATTTTCGTGACGAGTATTGGGCCCGTCTCGGACCATGACATGGTATGCCCGTCTTTCCTCTCTGTTATTCCCCTCTCTGAAATGTCACCAGTTCTGTGTCCATGTTCTCCCCTTAACCTCTTTTGATGTGGTTTCAAAGGTAAAATGTTTATAAATTTGATCAGCCCCATTAGTTTTCGACATAAATGAAATGTCACGAGCAAGGAAATGTTATTAGACCAATTGGCTCATTCATTTCCCAGATAAATGCAACTTGTAGTCTTAAACAGAATTATATTTGTATGTCCAATTTTATTGCATGGCATGACCCAAGCGGAGAGGGCTTGGTATTGATGTGGGTATAATGACTTTGGATCTTGTATAGCCTTTGTCTTTAGATTTGGCCATGATGTACAGTGTATTAGCAGGTGCTTGGGACTAGATTGCAAAGCCCCAGCTCGTGTCCCAAATGGAACCCCTACTTAGTGCACTACTTTTGACACATTTTAATGGAGCCCAATTGGCCCTGGTCAAAAGAAGTGCACTTTATAGGGAATAGGGTGCCATTTGGGATGCAGCCACAGAGAACAGATGCTATGGTTATGGCCAGAGACATTACCCTTCCTATGGCTATCATGACTGGATAATGTGATTTGATATAATCACACTCAGAGATATAAACTGACAGTGGAATGATTAGACTAGTCTTTGCAAAATCACCCTTCAGAATGTTCTACCTGTTCTCCTCAAATGAGCCAAACGCAATTTCATTGACCAAAAGTCGGTGTACCTACCATTTGAAAAATCTAGTTGGATATTGAAGAGATATTCTTTATTGAATGGCAACAGCGATGGTGAGATTGATTTATTAATCATTGCTCTGTTGAGATGTCTTCTTTAACCACTGTGGATGAATCATAGCGTCAGTATAAAACAATTACTAATCTGACTCTGCGTAATGTACACAGGAATATCAAGTCCCGGGACATACAGTATGTGAAACACACTCTCTCTCTTTCTCTCTCTCTGCCTCTGATATTGTCTCGCAATCTTGATGAAGGTTTGGTATTGGTGCACTTGAACCGTGTGTATTTGACGTATTATGATTTTATTACTGAACATGCTCTAACATATGGACCTGCACTTTTTACTGCTGCGCAACTTCACAGTAAGTCACGGAATGGGCTGGCCAAAAGGAACAGCTACAGTAGCTACCATTTCCCTTTCCAGTCCATTTCCATTACCTTGCAGCTCTGTTACCGTTCACACTAATTAACTCACGGCCGGGGAAAAATAGAGAACCGGAACGTTGTAAATTCACTGGCTAGCTAACTCCGTCAGGCATTCTGAAATAATTCAAAGCTGCTCTTAGCCATGGCGATTAGTGCATGTTAGAGTGAGATATCATGCCAGTGTTTGTATTTTTTGGTGTGCTTAAATCTAGAGCACTGTGCTTCTTCCTCATGTTTATTGACGACACATTCATGAGGACAAGCTGGAAGGAAGAGATGGAAGCTACTCCACCAGTTAGATAGACCTACCTTTGTTGAAGCCTCTACCTTGACAAGACAAGACAGTCACCAGCAGGATAAATAGGCAATTGCTGCTACATGGAAGCCTAAGTGATGTGTGAGAGAACAAAAGTATTGAAAAGTGGGAGTGTGCATTACTCAGCAACAGATATAGGATGACTAGGGACAACCTACCTCTCCTGGGTCCTGACCTTGCCTTCTCTCTCACAGGAATACACCATTGACGTGTTCTTTCGTCAAAGCTGGAAGGACGAGCGGCTAAAATTTAAAGGTCCAATGTCTGTTCTCCGTTTGAACAACCTGATGGCCAGTAAAATCTGGACCCCTGACACATTCTTTCACAATGGCAAGAAGTCTGTGGCCCACAACATGACTATGCCCAACAAACTCCTACGAATCACAGAGGAGGGAACTCTGCTCTACACTATGAGGTAAGAGAACACATTTGTCTGTTTTTGTTATATTAGTTTTAGGAAGAGGTATTTTTAACACTGTAACTGGAAATCCTTACTGGAAAGCAGAACATGATTTTCTCTACAGACAATAGTCATAAGTCTACCAGTCCCATGATGATCAGTATATTGTATTGTTTTTGTAGTTTCTGCTCTAGAAAATAATGTTGGTATCCAGCAAATTATTTATCTTTAAAGAGATTGTATACTGTAGTGGGGAGCGCTAAGATAAGACCCATAGTGAGTAGAGTGAGTAGTGTAGAATATAGTGGTAGAGTGGAGGCCCTTTGTGGGTTTTCATTTGAGCTGAAACATTATAAATAATGGTCTCAGACGTGAACTTCCAATGCTCACAAAATGGAGCTAACGTGTGGGTCACAGGGGGTGGCCATAAAACCTTCTTTAACATGTTTATTAGCAGATAAGGACACAGTGTGAGTTCATATTTATGGCGTAGAGATGATGAATGGGTGACGTGTCATGGCTGGGTTGACGTTCCCTTTTTCACTGTGTTGTCAGGAAAAGGCTGCAGCTCAGAGGTTTGCAGCATTGTCCCTCCCTGCCATTTTTTATTTCTCTCTCTTTCTCTCTCACTTTCTCTCTCTTTGTCTCTCCCTCTCTCTTTCTCTTTTTCTCTCTATGTATCTTTCCCTCGCTCCCTCCCTCCTTCCAGACTGACAGTGAGGGCGGAGTGTCCCATGCACCTGGAGGACTTCCCCATGGACGCCCATGCTTGTCCACTGAAGTTTGGCAGCTGTGAGTGTTTCCCCCTTTCTCTATCTCTCTCTCTTTCCCTTCCGACCGGAAACGCGCTTCTCGTACCTGATAGGAGCTGACAGTGGCGTTACAGCTGTTCTCCGGCAGGATCTGACCTCCCAGGCCCCGCTGGGCCTCGCTAGGTGCACGGCAGGGCGGAGACCTCTGTTTATCGGATGCAGTAGTCCCTGTCATACTTTCAGCGCATCGTGCCAGGTGCTCATGGCTGCCAGGTCTTCTGACCCCAAATCATCCTTGAGAAGTGAAGAAAGAAAGAGAGAGAGAGAGATCGAGAGAGAGAGAAAGAGAGAAGAGAGAAAGAGAGAGTGAGAGAGAGAGGAGCCCGACAATGATGAGTCAGTCTGTTCGGAATAACACAGCATGAATAAAAGACCAACCCTCAACTTTAAACTGGCTTGCTAAATATTTCAGTGATGAGGCTCCTCTGCAGTACAACTCCTCTGCAGTGCTGAAGCAACACTGCACTGTGGATGGCTTTGACATGTCAGAGGGTTCGCCAGGAGGGAGGAAATCTGACTTGGCTGTTTAAAGGTCAGTCAGATTGAGATGTTGTTTGTTTCTCTTCCCCTCTCTCTTCTCCCTGCCAGATGCTTACACCAGAGCTGAGGTTGTGTACGTGTGGACGAGAGGGGCAGCCCAGTCTGTTGTGGTGGCTGAAGATGGCTCTCGGCTCAACCAGTATGATCTGATGGGGCAAAGTGTGGACTCTGGGGTTGTCCAGTCCAGCACAGGTTTGATTCCCTTGTTTCCCTAAACCTCCCTCTCCTTTCTCTCCAAAAAGCTGCATCACACTTCCACTGCTTTACGTTTGTAGGCTTACTTTGAGAACATGTCCCAGATTTGTAATTTCCCTTGTGGGCATCACATCATTTCTCTTCTTTTTGGTCCATTGATGCTGCATGGCATAATTAGTGACAGTGTAAAATGGGTGACCCCTTTACAGTGAGTTTAGCTGCAGGCAGAAAGGTAGTGCTTAAGACCATAGAAATCTATGCTTAAGACAGCCTTTACTGTTTCTTTATTGGTCGGTGTTTGAAAGTGACAATACCTATCTCATTAAATTGTATATGCTAATTCTGAGGTACCATTGATTTATCAAAACAAATGTAATTAATTTTGCATGGCCATTGAATAAGTGCATATTGATTCCTTTGTTTATGTCTCTGTCAAACATAAAGAGCCAATTTATTACTACCTAATTAATTCCCATTGCTGTCGCAGAGAATTCTCTATGTTATTGCTGTCAATGCACTGATGGTTATGCCACGTTACTGAGTTAGTTGATAAATGAGACCTTTAACAATACTAATATATCTCTATGGCAACAAAACACCATGCTCGTAACATGGCAAACCACTCTAAAGCACACAGACAGATTCCTCTCTAGTATGATATAATAGTCTGGGGGGGGGGGGGGGGGGGGGGGTTGATTCAGATTCAGAGTGTTTAATAGTTGCATGTACAGGGGTTGCAGGTGTGATAGTAGGGTACAGTGAACATCTTAGGCTCTGAGCTCCAACATGATGCAGTGATGCAGACAGAACTGCAATCTCACAAATTTTTTTAGTATATCAGATCAAATGTGTAGGATTCACAGGAGCACAAGAGCTTTATCAAGTGGCCTTCCAACTGGAAATGACACAATAACTTCTCACGCATCATTCTCTGTTTCAACCTCTCCATCCTGCCCGACAACAGGAGAATATGTTGTCATGACGACACACTTCCATCTGAAGAGGAAGATTGGTTATTTTGTCATCCAGACGTACCTGCCCTGCATCATGACGGTAATCCTGTCCCAGGTGTCCTTCTGGCTCAACAGAGAGTCCGTCCCAGCCAGGACTGTGTTTGGTGAGTCCCTGCTACTTCATACCAAACGTAAACCAGTTGACATCCAATTTACACAGTCACCACACACAGTGTTAACTAACCACAGCAGGCCTTCACACCAGAGGGAACAGTGTGATCTTCGTCACATTGCCTTACTAACGTCCCTTCACATGTAGCTCTGAAATCAATTACTATAGTAGCAATGTTGATAGAGGAGGCCTGGTGCCCATCAATTAATGAGCTTGTATCAAAGCGAAGGAAAAGTAACACTGACACTCGCTCACATTGGTTGGTTTCCTAAAGTCAGTATCAAACCAGATTGGTTGAATCCTCTTATTACGTCTGAGTTCTAAACCTACTATATTCTGGAGCACTGCACCAGCCAGAGGTGCATTAATTCTTGATTCAACAGTGGCTGCAGTGGAATTTCAAGTTCTACGCTGGCTGAGTGTGGCTGTGAGTATGGATGTGCGTGTGTGTGAGTGAGTGCACTGTGTGTGTGTGTGTGTGTGTATGTCTGAGCTCTTACGCAACAGCGTCCAAAAGGAATGCTCTTGTTCGTCAGTCTGCAGCATGCTGCTCTGTAGCAGAACAGAGCGGCGGTTAGCTGGGCTGTCCTTGCTTTACCTCCCACTCTCTATGCGCATCGCCCATGTCAGTGTCTCCCATGGCTGAGTATTTAAAGGAGCTTTCCGAGCTACATAATAAAGCATCTTTGTGTCCCCTGTAGCTCAGTTGGTAGAGCATGGCGCTTGCAACGCCAGGGTTGTGGGTTCGTTTTCCCACGGAGGGCCAGTATGAAAATATATGCACTCACTAACTGTAAGTCGCTCTGGATAAGAGTCTGTTAAATGACCCCAAAAAAAAAGTAAAGGTGAGTGTGAGGCAGAGGATTTTTCAACAGCAACCCTAGCCTGTACTGTGTTTGCTTCAGGGTTCCAGTGGTGCTGTTATGTAGCCTACCTGGTGCTGTTCATCACGTGGCAGAATGAGGAGTAGGGGAATGAGGTTGACCTAGATGCATAGCACTATCTGGAGCGTGTGTCTTCCTCATGTCATGTACTGTACTTCTGTCTCTGGGAGCACAAAACTCATCCACTGTACTCACACTACAATTAGCTATTCAGTACTCATTATTTCAGGCAAGAGATGGGCATGTTTCAAGAGATAGGCTAGGTCAATGGCATATGTCATTGATAATAAATAATGTACAATGAATGATGTGAGGGGCAGTTGGTATGTTTTATTGTGAAGTTAATCATTAGGCTGTTGACAAAAAGCCAATTCATGTTTATTTGTTGAATGAAAGATTCCAATAATCAGCTGTACAAGCTTGTATTCCAAACTGTAGTTCTAATGTTTTATACTGATGTTTAGAACAAGTATGTCTTCACAACTCTTGCAATGTAACTTGTTCAAGTCTTTAAGAAATAATTAGTGAAATTAATAAGTAGTATTTGTCTCATCAAAACATATTAGCTAGCATATTAACTAGCACAAGATGTAAGGTATTGCCTCCTGGTTGATATCCGATGTAGGGGTTCTGTGTGAGTGAGCAAAGACGGCATATAGCAAATGCAAATCCTCCCTTTTAGATAAATTGGCAATTTAAAAAATGCAGCATAGGGTTATCTATTTGTCATTGTTGTGATTAAAGAAGGCAGATACATTCAGAGCCAGTATATTGTAGTGGAAAAACAATTGGCTATTTATTTATTTATCATCCCAATAAAAAATAAAAATATGATAATGATTAAATGGCTCTGAAAGGAAAATTGAATTAATATGTTCCATTATATTTCATTTTGGAGCACCGTCCTCTATTCTTTCTCTGTGGCTGTCATAGACATCAACGGTGCTCAGAAGAGTAGCTCTCTTTCTTCCCTGCTCTTAAAGTGAGCACCGCTATTGAACATCTTCTGGGTTGGTGTGTGCCACTGGCATGGTTAGACATGTGCAGATTAGTTTTTAGTTATTGATAAGGTCATGAATAAAGCAGTAGCCTTAAGGTGGATACAGTAGGGGAATGGAGAGGACCACCACTGCTGGGAGTGGTAAGGAGTTAAATATTAGTTTAATTTGAGATTTCATTTGATATACTTTATTGGTTATGATTTATCCATTCTTTCCTTGTTACAGTGCTCTCTCTATCTAAGTCAGCAAAGTGTGACAGTCTCATTGCCCCACCTTGCCATTCATCACCTGAAATGTTTAATTTCATTTTTGCAGTGTACCTTTTCACACTATCACACTTTATCTAAAAAATTTTCCTCCCTGCTACCTACCGTCTGTGTGGAGGAAAACCTTGTTAAAAGATATGTATCATCTAAATCAAGTGTCAGTTGCTTTTGCACACAGAGCTAAATTGAGTGGAAGGGTTCCCAACAATTGAGTTATACCACTATTAATCCACTTAGAACTTTCCAGATGGGTGCCTCTGCTCATTAAGGGCCTTCAAACTCACCAACCACACACAGTCTATTAGTCCAACTTGTCAAATAGAGTCATTTAAGACGAGCGTCAAAATCATGTTTTAATGAATCACTCGCTGCACTTATTTAGGTTGAAAACAATTATAAATACCTAACAGTGTCGCTCTCTATTCTATAAGCAAATGTTACCATGCCCACCACATGACTTTGATTTCATTCCACACATCATTTGGGATTTTAATATTCTTGGTTAAAAAAAATACGACATGAAATGACATTAGAGCTGGTGACGTGTTTCCATGGCAACACAGCTTTCTGTCTTTATGTATGTTAGTGGATCCTTCAGGATACTTTGGAAAAGAGTGTGGTGGGGAAGGAAGGAAGGAGGCAGCTGCCATAGACCAGCCTCAATTCTTGACTGACTGTGGCATGCCCATCCCCATCCCCCTCCCCTTTACCCAAACGTACTTATCCATCTAACCATCAACCCCCCGTGAAGATTTCTCATAAAGGAATGCTGAAGCCAAACGAGAATTGTCTTGGTGGTGTGGTTTGATGTGGGTGTTATGTTCGCATATCGTACCCTGGTAGGTTTGTCCCTCCTGGGTCATCGTCAATGTTCCCTCAAAATAATTCAGCTCTGAGCAAATTTCAGGTCTGCTGAGCACAAACTTGAACGTTGTGAAAATTCCAGTGAGCATTTACTGCAAACACTGAGGCTGTACCCACTTTAAGTTACAGTTTTAACAGTGGGCAAGTAGGCTACTGTGGCTATTTGATCATAATGTAGGCCTACCAGAGTGGCCTACCATCAAAACATGCATCCCATAACATTTGAACATGGAAATAGCTGTTCTATCATTCAGCCTACAGTAGCAGCCAATGTGTGGTGTTCAATGTAGGCCTACATTCCATGAGACTTTTGGAAAAAAAAACATACAGGGCTTGACATTAACCTGTTTATCCACTTGTCCTTCAGACAAGGAGGTGACAAACATTTTTGTTGTGTTGTTTGATGCAAGAAACCACTTTACAAAATAAAATGCATTATTATTCCCATACCATTATTACAGACAATCAGACAAATTATGCTACCCTCTGCCTATTGGCTACAGTACTTAGCTTATTCAAGCCTGTCTCAAAATGTAACACTGCCCCTTTAGGACAAAAATAAATGCTCTTTACCTGACTCGCTTTTCAAAGATGTCTAGAAATTTATTTATTTTTTGCTCTTGTAGGAAGCAATCACTCCCCTATTGCTGACTACAAATTATCTATAACTGGGCTAATAACTCACTAACTAGCAAAGGGTATGAAAAAATGTGCACCCGTGGCTACATGCAGCTCTCGCTTTGATCTCAAAACAAGCACATCTACTCACGACCGCTTACGCTGTAAACACAGTCCAGTTCAAAGTAATGACACAGATCCATATATGGCAATGGTCTATTTGCATATAGGCCTACTGCAGCTCTGATTGTTTATGCCGCACCGGTCTGTGTAGAGTACGGGCTGAGTCGTGAGTGTCAATGCAATAGAATCCTACTCCGATGCGTTCTGCCTACAACAAAATCTCTTGCATAGTTAGTTTTGTTTTGGTATGTTGGATTGAAAGTGGCTAATATTGCGTTGATTCAATCATAATTGCCACAGTAGTGAAATGTTGATAGTGTTAACAGGGAAAATTCTAGAACAGTAGCCACCAACCTTTTCTGAGTGGTAGCCGAGATCTACCACTCAGATTTTTTTTACATGACTTAAAAAACGTAAGCCTATGCAACATTAACCAATTAAAAACAGTGCTGTAGTAATGAGTTTTGTGCAGTAAGCTATAGGCCCAATACATTATTACCGCCTATTGGCTTTGCTTGAATTGCCCTGCCAATGCATTGTCGTTCGGGCCATTTAAAAAAAGTATATTTCTACATTTGAGGTAGGCTATCTGATCACACCGGTAACAGATCCGTTGTTGTATTACTTGTGAAGCACAGCTGAGTGAGCATACATTTAAATAACTTGCTTTTTATTTTACTGGGCTGATGGTGCCTGCATCTGATGGTCAGTCTCAGCGGAGGGAGAGAGCAGCAGACTGAGGGTCCACCTCTCAACATCCCTCCGCTCTCCCTTTCCTCCACTGACATTGACCAAAAAGGGACACCGTCTTCCAGCTGATGGCGAAACTCGAGTCGCACCGCATTATTTCTGCCTCATGCACAAATTCATGTTGTTACTCCTATGAACAGAGAAAGTGACATATTCCTGGATATTAAAAAAGACCCAAGCCACTAATAATAGCAACAACGCAAGCCTATAGATACACTTTCCTACTCATTCATTACTGCTGCAGTACTTGTGAAGCGCTAAGTGGAAATAGGTGTTTGGTGCAGTATTTCTCAAGTAAAAAAAATTGCATGAAAAACTAGTCAGTGTATTGCACACAGTCTATCGAATCGGGAAAGTCTGGATGCACGCTCAGGACTGATTTCTGAGAACGACAACATGTCTACAACTTCATCATCTGCAAGCTGTGAAACGATGGTAAATAAAGCACAAGCTACACGCTGTTTATCAGTGCCCAAAATCACTTGCCATACGAGTTTAAACTTTTTCAATGAAGCTAGCAAGTAATGTTAGGAACTAGCAGGCACATTGAGCAGCCAGGCCACAATCAGGTCACTGTTGAGTGTCGACGTGTGTGCTTCGGTGCCATTTGGTTTTTAATAACTTTCTCACTATCAATTACCATAGTGTGCATCTGTTTGGCAGTGCTTCATAGGGAATCATGTTACAAAACAATATGAGGGGGGACACAAGATGTTCGCAAATGGGTTTTGGAGTATTGAAAAGTTGCAGTTGGGATACAAGTGCGTTCTGATCGTCTCAATTCTCAAGTAATTGACACTATCAAACACATCAGCAAGTGCCCATTCCATGAAGGGCTTAGGGCCAAGGGTTATTTCAACATAACACTGGCGATGTGTTGACTTACAGTGCCTTCGGAAAGTATTCAGATCCCTTGACTTTTTCCACACTTTGTTACGTGACAGCCTTATTCTAAAATGGATCCTCAGCAATCTACACACAATACCCCATAATGACAAAGCGAAAACTGTTTTTTATACATTTTTGCAAATGTATTAAAAATAATAAACAGAAATACCTTATTTACATACACTACCAGTCAAAAGTTTGGACACACCTACTAATTCAAGGGTTTTTCTTTATTTTTACTATTTTTTACATTGTAGAATAATCGTGAAGACATCAAAACTATGAAATAACACATATGGAATCATGTAGTAACCAAAAAAATGTTAAACTAATCAAAATACTGTATATTTTAGTAAAGATATGTAAAAATAAAGAAAAACCCTGGAATGAGTAGGTGTCCAAACTTTTGACTGATACTGTAAGTATTCAGACCCTTTGCTATGAGACTCGAAATTGAGCTCAGGTGCATCCTGTTTCCATTGATCATCCTTGAGATGTTTCTAAACATCATTGGAGTCAATCTGTGGTAAATTCAATTGATTGGACATAACTTGGAAAGGCACACACCTGTCTATAGAAGGTCCCACAGTTGACAGTGCATGTCACAGCAAAAACCAAGCCATGAGGTCGAAGGAATTGTCCGTAGAGCTGCGAGACAGGACTGTTTCGAGGCACAGATCTGGGGAAGGGTACCAAAACATTTCTGCAGCATTGCAGGTCCACAAGAACACAGTGGCCTCCATCATTCTTAAATGGAAGAAGTTTGGAACCACCAAGGATCTTCCTAGAGCTGGCCGCACAGAAAGACTGAGCAATCGGGGGAGAAGGGCCTTGGTCAGGGAGGTGACCAAGAAACCGATGGTCACTCTGACAGAGCTCCAGAGTTCCTCTGTGGATATGGGAGAACCTTCCAGAAGGACAACCGTCTCTGCAGCACTCCACCAATCAGGCTTTTATGGTAGAGTGGCCAGACGGAAGCCACTCCTCAGTAAAAGGCACATGACAGCACGCTTGGAGTTTGCCAAAAGGCACCTAAAGACTCTCAGACCATGAAACCAAGATTTAACTCTTTGTCCTGAATGCCAAGCGTCACGTCTGGAGAAAACCTGGCACCATCCCTACGGTGAAGCATGGTGGTGGCAGCATCATGCTGTGGGGATGTTTTTCAGCGGCAGGGACTGGGAGACTAGTCAGGATCGAGGCAAAGACGAAAGGAGCAAGGCACAGAGAGATCCTTGATGAAAACCTGCTCCAGAGCACTCAGGACCTCAGACTGGGGCGAAGGTTCACCTTCCAACAGGACTACGACCCTAAGCACACAGCCAAGAAAATGCAGTAGTGGCTTCAAGACAAGTCTCTGAATGTCCTTGAGTGGCCCAGCCAGAGCCCGCACTTGAACCCTATCGAACATCTTTGGAGAGAAATGAAAATAGCTGTGCAACAACGCTCCCCATCCAACCTGACAGAGCTTGAGAGGATCTTCAGAGAAGAATGGGAGAAACTCCCCAAATACAGGTGTGCCAAGCTTGTAGCGTCATACCCAAGAAGACTCGATGCTGTAATTGCTGCCATAGTACTGAGTAAAGGGTCTGAATACTTATGTAAATGTGCAAACATTTCTAAAAACGTGTTTTTGCTTTGGCGTGATAGGGTATTGTGTGTAGATTGATGAGGGAAAAAAACTATTTAAACCATTTTAGAATAAGGCTGTAACTAAACAAAATGTGGAAAACATCAAGGGGTCTGAATACTTTCCGAATGCACTGTGTAACTGGCCTAATAACTCGCTAACTAGCAAAGAATATCAACAAATGTGCACACGCGCGGCTATGCTCTCTGATCTGAACTGATCTGAAAAGCCATTCACTTGTCAGTGATTGAAAAAACGCTTGTGGGCTACCCCCCACCGTTGCGCTCTGGCTCTGCCTACAACAAAATCGCAGACACCAGTCTTGCAAAGTTAGATTTGTTTTGGTTTGTTGCATTGAAAATGGGCTGATATAATGTTGATTTGATCACAGAATTTTTTTTGATCTATATGGTGCAAACTAATGGGGCTAATTCAGCAAAGTTCAATCTCTCTACACGGCCTGGCGTTTCTTTTCTTCTGCTCGGCAGTCTTGGAGGAGGTGCGCAGCCGCGCACGTGTGAAGCTTAGAGGGAACATTGCTCCACAATTGCACTTGATGGTTGTGTAGAAACCACATCACAGGACCAAGGTCCAGACCAAAGGCAGTAGAGTCACAAAGTTTCAGTCTATAAAGCATCAGGTTGATTCTCTGTGTGTCTCATCTCTCCATCGCTGTCTCAGTGAACTAAGTCCTCCAAGCAGAGCAGAGCAGGGAGAGACAACGTCACAGTAGTCTATCAACATATGATGACGAGGCGAGCATTGCCCGTTCCCTATACCTGTACACCCAGTACCATTGCATTATAACACTATGGTGGTGGAGGAACAGTCCATTATATTGGATTCATAAGCAGCCTCTCATTCTGTCCCTTGAATTGCCTTCTTTGGCCCCAGCCGAGTTCTCTGTGTAAGCTGCTGGGCTGTTTTTGTTTTGTGGTGTAAACATCTGCAGCAGTCCGTGTGGATGAGCAATGCACCGACAGACATCCCCTGAACTGCTTCTCTTCTCCGATCCCCTACTCTCACCTCTTCTTTAACAAAACCCATCCACAGTACAGAACGACACCCTTGCATAATCCTGTAGGCTTAACACCCTCCCCCTTTCTGTTTTTAAAGTCATACAACCTTTTGTGTGCAGGTATTATGCAGGCTTAAAAAAAACGCATGTGTTTTGGTGCTTTTATAAAAAATATATGTGCCTCCGCCGGCATTACGTGACAATTCCTATTTCTCTGGGGCTGCAGCCTCATTGTTCATGTAGTGCATGAAGTTGGAATCAGGGAGGTATTGGAGAAGTTGGCAAGCTTTTCGCCAGCTAATCAAAATGTAATGCTCAGGCTGCCAACATAATCGTAGCTTTTGCTTAATCCATTTAAGCAATTTTACCCAGTGACCAATTGTGTTGGTACTGATTCAAGATGCGTAAAGTTACATATGTCAACAGCAGTGTGCTATACTCTCACCAGAACATCCCCATTTTGGAAATGGCCACGCATACTAGACTAGGTTGGACAGAGTGTGTAGTTGTAGGATGTAATATGCGTATTTAGCCTACAACGTAAAACCCAAACAAGCAAGAACATGATCTATCTATTTCAGTCTAGAATGTAACCCATTCTCCCGCTCTGTCCCTACAGGGGTGACAACTGTGCTGACCATGACTACCCTCAGTATCAGCGCTAGGAACTCTCTCCCAAAAGTGGCCTACGCCACAGCCATGGACTGGTTCATTGCAGTCTGCTATGCCTTTGTCTTCTCTGCCCTCATTGAGTTTGCTACAGTCAACTACTTCACAAAGAGGGGCTACGCCTGGGATGGGAAAAGTGTGGTGCCAGAGAAGGTATTCGTAGTATTATTATTATTATTATTATTATTATCTCACATCAAATATATTGTATTTTTAAATAATTATATATTTTGTGATATATTAATCATAGAATCCTTAGTTGCTATCCATTGATATACCATTGATTCTTGAAGAATATAATGAAGAAATGCCTCATGAGCATAGTTCAACTTCTGTACCCCATCAGAACCCAAAATATAAGCTTGTTTTACTCTAATGTTTGTAAACAACGTAAATGTCAAAACATGGCTGAAACTATATATTTGATATCATGGATGGTCAGTCCTTGCATCAATAGCTCTGTCTATGAATTTGAGAGAGGTTACATTTCACCAGCCCCATCCTGTAGCTTTTTAGTGAAAGGGGGGCAGGAAGAATGCTTTGTTATTGTTTCAATTAAGGATTCTAGCTTTAAGATAACAAAGCTCAAACATAATTATCAGGGGTGTTCCACCTAAAACCAGAGCAGTTAGTTCTATATTATTGGTGGAGCACAACAGTGAGGGTTAGTTTTATGTCACTAGCTCATCTCAATGCAAATGAGATTCATGGGACATGACAAAAACATTAATAGTTTAGAGTTCCTGCCGAGTCTTCTGGTGCTCACTGTCTCACCGGTGCAGTTAGGAGTACAGTACATTACTATACTGTGTGGTCTCTACCTGCTCCTAAACAAAATTGAGACAAAATACTAGACAAACTCTTACACAATGTCTTGCCATTATCACACAATGTTTTGCCATGTTTTTTGAACAAGCGAGAGCAGACATCTGTACTTATCCATTCAGGTTGTACCCAGTTTGAATTGTTAGCTTGTCAATGTGCTTTGTTGGTTGGTTTCTTGTGAGATAACCCAAGGCACTGTCTGTTTATCCTCCTTGCAGCAAAAGAAAAAGAAAGAGTCCCTCCTGAAGAAGAACAACACCACGGCTTACACCGCCGCCACTGCTACAGCCTTCGCTCCAAACATTGCCAGGGACCCTGGTTTGGCCACCATTGCCAAAAGCGCCCCCCCTCCCCCCACCGAGCCCAAGGAAGAACCCAAGCCCAAGCCACCAGAGGCTAAGAAGACCTTCAACAGCGTCAGCAAGATCGACAGGATCGCCAGAATAGCCTTCCCATTACTCTTCGGAACCTTTAACCTGGTCTACTGGGCAACTTACTTGAATAAAAAGCCCAAGTTACTGGGGATGACCCCGGGATCCCACTAATCCCAATCCCCCCTTCTCTTTTTTCCGAATGTTTATTTTCAGAAAACATGGTGTCCATGCTGGTTGAGTTCCCAGTCGCCACATTGCTTCAATGTCACATACTGTACCTTCCAAGATTTAAAAAAGAGAAAAGGTTTTAGGATCAGAGCAATGTGATGACTATAATGGGAATTGTTTTGGGAGGGAGGGATTATGCTACTAAAGGAAATATGCTAAAAATAATATATGATATACGCAAGAGAATGCTATTCTACAAATTCACATAGCCCAAAAATTGTTAAGGATCTATTCTTTGTTTTAGTTTTCTGATATATGTTCAGTTGTTGTTTTGCATTAAATCATTGACACTGTAAAAGAAAATTGTGTTTTTGCATGGACTGGAAGTTTTTCTTTTCAAAGACCAATCAAAATTTGACTGATGGCCTAGTTTGTTTGATATCAGTGACAAAATGCTACCTTCAATCTCCGTCAAATATTCTTCCATTCTCTGTAGTTGATATTTTGGGGTTGTTCATTTCCTTTTGTTGAAAGAATCAAGATAGGGTTTCAGCAATAGCAATAAAACATGTCTCAGTGGAAACAATGTCATTAATTCATGGATTTAAGAAGAGGATAGAAACAATTTGTTTATGTGCAACATTATGAATACAATTTATTTAGTTTTATTGTAAATATTATCAAGTGTTAGAGATTACGTTTAAGCTTTGCAAAATGTAACTAAAGGGTATTAATATTCAACACGTGGCAGAGAAAGTTTTTCTTTTTTTAACTGTTTATGAAACATTGGAAATAGTTTGTATGAAGAGAGTATTCACTGGTTCACTCCTAAGTGACTGTTTCTTACCAAGTCAGTGTTCCACTGATGGCTGGTCAACGTTGCCAGTGGTTATAATTGAAGTATAAGTTAATATCTATTCACCCTAAATCCATAGCTATGTACACACTAACAACAACAATGTGTCAAGGTCTGGGGTGGGTTAGTAATGAGTAAGAATGTAAAACTGTAAAATCTAAATGTCGGAATGCATTTTATATTTAGAATTAAAAAAACACTATTATTATTTATATTGGTTTCTGGTTTCTATGGCAATAGAAGAACCCCTAGAGGGTCATTTGTACAGGGCCCAGAGGACTGTCAGCAACATTGTTTCGTTTCTAAGAGGGCTGCTAGCAGTAAGCATTGAAGCGGGCGGGCGGTGGCAAATGCATTGAGAGTGAAGAGCAGTGCATTTACATTTTCAGGGTTGAACTAAGGAAAGGATACTCCTTTAATTGATGGCACTATGTTTTCCATTCTGCTCTATTCCGTGACCCTGTGAAGGCGCCATGGTTCCCATCTTCTGTTGACAATGTTTTAGACAACACTCAGAAAGTACCAGCTACACTGCCTTCAGTCTCACATGCCGTTAGAGGAATGCTTCTTTTGGACTGCATTTGTTGCTGCTTGATGTTGATGAGAGCGAAAGGGAGATAATACAGAGGCATTAAACGTGATGGGCTAGTGCTGTGTCCTACACACAGGAAATGTCTTGTAGTTCTATGATAGTACTGGATACCTATATTTTTGTAGCATGATATCAATCCCTCCTCAAAGAGACCCAACAGGTACTAAACCGAACATGTAAAAATATTGTTGGTTTCTTTTTATTGATTTTATTTTTTCACATTCAAACATACGCAATGAGATGTTTTCTCAGATGTGGAAAGTTAAAGTTAATTGTCCTAAAATTCTGTTAATGTAGCAATATCGATTAGCAAGGGCTTTTAAAAAATCTGCATTCTCCGGTGTGATATCCATAGCTTCATGTTGACCTCAGTAATCATAGTTCCATGTGTAGCATCGGTATCCAAAAAGTATTTGGATTAACGCTCACGGGCAATGTCTTTTAGTTTTTCTTCTCCGTAGTTTTCAAGCCGTCAGCACCCAACTTGCTTTCAGAAAACCATGATCCAAATTGAGAGTGGGGGCATTGTATGGCATGGATTGGGGTGTTTTTACAATAAATGGGGATTGTAGTACTGGACATTGTGCAGTGGTGACAATATCTCTGGACCGTGTAGACAGACTAGTGTGTATTGTAGATCAGTGCACAGGGGTAAGAAGGTTAGTGTATCCCAGAGGGAGAAGGAGAGAGTCGGTTGTATTATGACCGATTGAGAGGATCCGTTGCTGGAGATGGAAGGCTTTCAGTATGCAAGTGCACTCAGTCTCAAACTGCGTTAGGAACACAAGTCCTGTGTGAAATGTATACATGTAAATATATAGATATTTCAATTTAAACCTATTGTATGGATGTTTATTATCATGATGAAAAAATGATATATAATATACATAATGCATATATGACTATTTAATATAAAAATACTAGCTAAGATAATAGATATTGTTTGTACCAACTTATTGTTATACATTTTGCACATTAGAAGCATCCTTTACATTTATGTAGTCAACTTTGTGCCATGCAAGGTCAGCTTTGAAACACATTCATTAGCTTCTTTCCCTGACCATTGTGTTTTCAAATGAACAAGGTATTGTAAAAAGATGAACTCTTTAATCAATCATGCACCCTTAGCCTTTTAACCATTTTCTCTGCTGGGTAATCGTGAATTACTCTTCTTTATTTTTGATGTACAGGTCGATCTATTGATGGGGAGATGGCTTTGAATGTCAATTGCACCTTTTTTTAAATATGGCAATAAAGTGAGTCAATTGAAAACCACAAAAGTACTGTATATTAAGTTCACATGAATAATTTTATTTGAGGATTTGCTAATAATCAGTGATGATAAATTGCCGACTGGACATATAAATGTTTTCCTTTTTCATAGAACTTTAGCTTTAAAGATAGCAAAATCCCTGAAGGGTTCCTCTATATTGTTTGCTAATTAAAACCTCAGCTAAAATACAGTTCTTGACATTCAGAGTGGAAAGTGGGCCACCACCAGTTGTTGTTATTTTGTCATACTAATTTAGGAAGGCATTGTATCTGTTCCAGAGCACTGGCTGTAGAATCTGTGGTACATTTGCAAACATGAGCTTCCAACCCCTTCTCCTTTCACATACAGCAGCTGTAACATGTATATAAATGCATCGCAAACCGATCCCCTATGTTGGAGACCAAGTAATCCCCCATTTAGAACTGTTGTTCTGGACAGTACTTGCTTTTCAAAGTTGGGTCTTTGATCAATGTTAGGTACCTGTGGGAGTTTTTTGTTTTCTTGTGTTTTAATTTATCAGGCATAAAAAAAAAAACTATTAATTTGGAAATAAAACAACATTTTTTAAAGCACAACTGTTGAAGATATATAATGGATGAGGGGTAAACGCATCCACACTCACTGATATGTGTTTGTGGTATATAATGTATGATAAATGACAAACGATGATGGAGATGGGGTAGGATTCTGTTGGATTGGGTGGAAAGGTGTACCTTCTGTAAATGTTTTGTTTTGTTATGATATGGCCCTCTGTAGAATCTGTCTTTAAATAAAAGAGAGGAAAACAGTCATGTTGACATTTCTATCAATGTGTAATAAATTGAATTATAAAAATGCCAACACATTATTCCTTGTCACTTTTCCTTTTATATGCTTTCTGCTCCTTTTTACAAACAAAGATAATGCTTGATAAGTGACAGTTCATACATTTATGTATCTCTTGGGGAATGTAAAAGTAGAATGCAAGACCTTTGCAGCTTACTACAAGCATATAAAATACATTTGGCATGGACTCAAGGGGACATAAAGTTGAATTTTGCACAGGCAATGCTAGAAATATGCACAATCATGTCTCAGGTGGCAGTGTTGTTTGGGTGAGAGGGCTAAGTTGACATAATTAATACATAACAGATGTATCTCCTCTGGTTAAACTGAATTAAAGTACTGTTGAGCTCTTCTACGACTTCCTGATTAGAGTAAGGTCCTAGAAACCTACTTTTACCCAAATGATGATCTGTCTAACTCTCTAAGGAGTGCTGAAGTTAGGAAACACAGTAACTCATGCCTATTGACCCTCCCCCTTTTACAGCTCTCACCGTTTCTTTCTTACAAATACAGGCAGGCCGCAGGACTCTATACATGTATGTACAGTCATGGTCAAAGGTTTTGAGAATTACACAAATACACATTTTCACAAAGTCTGCTGCCTCAGTTTTGATGATGGCAATTTGCATATACTCCAGAATGTCATGAAGAGTGATCAGATGAATTGCAATTAATTGCAAAGTCCCTCTTTGCCATGAAAATTAACTTAATCCCCCAAAAACATTTCCACTGAATTTCAGCCCTGCCACAAAAGGACCAGCTGACATCATGTCAGTGATTCTCTCGTTAACACAGGTGAGAGTGTTGACGAGGACAAGGCTGGAGATCACTCTGTCATGCTGATTGAGTTAGAATAACAGACTGGAAGCTTTAAAAGGAGGGTGGTGCTTGAAATCATTGTTCTTCCTCTGTTAACCATGGTTACCTGCAAGGAAACACGTGCTGTCATCATTGCTTTGCACAAAAAGGGCTTCACAGGCAAGGATATTGCTGCTAGTAAGATTGCACCTAAATCATCAAGAACTTAAGGGAGAGAGGTTCAATTGTTGTGAAGAAGGCGTCAGGGCGCCCAAGAAAGTCCAGCAAGCGCCAGGACCGTCTCCTAAAGTTGATTCAGCTGCGGGATCAGGGCACCACCAGTGCAGAGCTTGCTCAGGAATGGCAGCAGGCAGGTGTGAGTGCATCTGCACGCACAGTGAGGCGAATACTTTTGGAGGATGGCCTGGTGTCAAGAAGGGCAGCAAAGAAGCCACTTCTCTCCAGGAAAAACATCAGGGACAGATTGATATTCTGCAAAAGGTACAGGGATTGGACTGTTGAGGACTGGGGTATAGTCATTTCCTCTGATGAATCCCCTTTCCGATTGTTTGGGCCATCCGGAAAACACCTTGTCCGGAGAAGACAAGGTGAGCTCTACCATCAGTCCTGTGTCATGCCAACAGTAAAGCATCCTGAGACCATTCATGTGTGGGGTTGCTTCTCAGCCAAGGGAGTGGGCTCACTCACAATTTTGCCTAAGAACACAGCCATGAATAAAGAATGGTACCAACACATCCTCCGAGAGCAACTTCTCCCAACCATCCAAGAACAGTTTGGTGACGACCAATGCCTTTTCCAGCATGATGGAGCACCTTGCTATGAGGCAAAAGTGATAACTAAGTGGCTTGGGGAACAAAACATTGACATTTTGGGTCCATGGCCAGGAAACTCCCCATACCTTAATCCCATTGAGAATTTGTGTTCGATCCTCAAGAAGTGGGTGGACAAGCAAAAACCCACAAATTCTGACAAACTCCAAGCGTTGATTATGCAAGAATGGGCTGCCATCAGTCAGGATGTGGCCCAGAAGTTAATTGACAGCATGCCAGGGCGGATTGCAGAGGTCTTGAAAAAGAAGGGTCAACACTGCAAATATTGACTCTTTGCATAAACTTAATGTAATTGTCAATAAAAGTCTTTGACACTTATGGAATGCTTGTAATTATACTTCAGTATACCATAGTAACATCTGACAAAAATATCTAAAAACACTGAAGCAGTGAACTTTGTGACACCAATACTTGTCATTCTCAAACTTTTGACCACGATTGTACAGTCACATAAATAATTATTTCTGCTTCTTTCACTAACCATGAATGCTCCGAGTGAGAAAGAGAGAGTGGGGAGGAAAAAAATGCCAGTTAATTATATGCAGTGTCTAAGATAGGAGTCTAAAGTTTATTTCAATTCAGTATGAAATTGTCTGTTGTTGATGGTGGGGGCTACTGCAATCTGCTCTCTGTCTCTCATTTCCTTACCCGGGAATCTGTTTGATGCTGAGTGAAAGTTAATTGGCTGAGACCTCACATCCAGACAGAGAGAGGGAGCTTTCCTCTATGTACATCTCTCAAGCATGGGCAGATTGGCCATCAGGCAATTCTGGCAAATGCCAGATGGGCCAGACCATCTTTTTGTTGGGTGGGCTGGTCTAAAAAAAAAAAAAGATAAAAACTATTGACTAAACGTTTTTTTTCCTCTGTTGTCATAATTATATACACTGAGTGTACAAAACATTAAGAACACCTTCCTAATATTGAGTTGCACCCTTCCTTTTGCCTTCAGAACAGCCTCAATTCGTTGGGGCATGGACTCTACAAGGTGTCAAAAGCGTTCCACAGGGATGCTAGCCCATGTTGACTCCAATGATTCCCACAGTTGTTTCAAGTTGGCTGGATGTCCTTCAGGTGGTGGACCATTCTTGATACACACAGGAAACTGTTGAGCGTGAAAAACCCTGCAGCATTGCAGTTCTTCACAAAAAACGGTGCTCCTGGTACCTACTACCATACCCCTTTCAAAGGCAATCAAATATTATGTCTTGCCCATTCACCTCCTGAATGGCACACATACACAATGCATGTCTCAATTGTCTCAAGGCTTAAAAAAGCTTATTTAACCTGTCTCCTCCCCTTCATCTACACTGGTTGATGTGTATTTAACACTTAGGCCTAATTAGGGAAGCAGGGATTCAGGGGAACACATACAGTGCATTCGGAAAGTATTCAGACCCCTTCACTTTTTCCACATTTTGTTACGTTACAGCCTTATTCTAAAATGGATTAAATTAAAAATGTTCCGAATCAATCTAGGCACAATACCCCATAATGACGAAGCAAAAACAGGTTTTTAGAAATGTTTGCTAATTTATCAAAATAAAAAACTGTATTCAGACCCTTTGCTATGAGACTTGAAATTGAGCTCAGGTGCATCCTGTTTCCATTGATCATCCTTGAGATGTTTCTACAACTTGACTGGAGTCCACCTGTGATATATTCAATTGATTGGACACGATTTGGAAAGTCACACACCCATCTATATAAGGTCTCACAGTTGACAGTGCATGTCAGAGCAAAAACCAAGACATGAGGTCAAAGGACACAGTGGCCTCCATCATTCTTAAATGGAAGAAGTTTGGAACCACCAAGACTCTTCCTAGAGCTGGCCACCCGGCCAAACTGAGCAATCGGGGGAAAAGGGCCTTGGTCAGGGAGGTGACCAAGAACCCGATGGTCACTCTGAAAGAGCTCCAGAGTTCCTCTGTGGAGATGGGAGAACCTTCCAGAAGGACAACCATCTCTGCAGCACTCCACTAATCAGGTCTTTATGGTAGGGTGGCCAGATGGAAGCCACTCTTCAGCAAAAGGCACATGACAGCCCACTTGGCGTTTGCCAAAAGGCACCTAAAGGACTCTCAGATCATGAGAAACAAGATTCTCTGGTCTGATGAAACCAAGATTGATCTCTTTGGCCTGAATGCCAAGTGTCATGTCTGGAGGAAACCTGGCACCATCCCTACGGTGAAGCAGGTGGTGGCAGTATCAGGCTGTGGGGATGTTTTTCAGCGGCAGGGACTGGGAGACTTGTCAGGATCGAGGGAAAGAAGAGTGGAGCAAAGTATAGAGATATCCTTGATGAAAACCTGCTCCAGAGAGCACAGGACCTCAAACAGGGATGAAGGTTCACCTTCCAACAGGACAATGACCCAGACAAGACAAGCACACAGACAAGACAACGCAGGAGTGGCTTCGGGACAAGTCTCTAAATGTCCTTGAGTGGCCCAGCCAGAGCCCGGACTTGAACCCGATAGAACATCTCTCTGGAGAGACCTGAAAATAGCTGTGCAGCGACGCTTCCCATCCAACCTGACAGAGCTTGAGAGGATCTGCAGAGAAGAATGGGAGAAACTCCCCAAATACAGGTATGCCAAGCTTGTAGCGTCATACCCAAGAAAACTGAAGGTTGTAATCGCTGTCAAAGGTGCTTCAACAAAGTACTGACTAAAGGGTCTGAATACTTATATAAATGTGATATTTCAGTTGTTGTTTTTTTAAATTAATTTGCAAAAATGTCTACAAACTTGTTTCTGCTTTGTCATTATGGGGTATTGTGTGTAGATGGATAAGGGATAAAAAAAATATATATATATAGAATAAGGCTGTAACGTAACAAAATGTGGATAAAGTCAAGGGGTCTGAATACTTTCCGAATGCAACACATTAAGGAACTGGCAGTGCATCTGGGTCTCTTTTTTCTTCCTACCTCCACTGCACTCACATCTGAGCTGTTTCTAATTACTATTACATATATAATATAGAGCCAAAATATGAATACACTGATCTGTGTCAATGTCTCTCTCTCTCTCTCTCTCTCTCTCTCTCTTGCTCTCTCTGTTTTCTCCCTACCTTCACTACATTTGACTCTGCTGCAACAGCAGCATCTGAGCTGTCTGCTACTAAAAGTAGAGACTCAGAGCTAGAAAATGGTACATCATACACTACAGTTGAGGAGCAATGGGAAAGTAATTCTGCTTTGAAAGTTGATAAACTTGTAACCCCACTTTTGAGAAAATGGCACTTGAAAAACTGTTTTGGTACACCTAACAGAGAGCTCTTCTTTGTCTACACCCATTCAGCATAGCCTGACCCATCTCTTTAAGGATTCACATTTGAGGCCATGTGCTAAACAGAGTGAGGA